TTGTTTTGAAAGGTAAATTACTATCACTGCGACCACATATATATTAACTGCGCTTAATGTCTTCTTAACTCCTACATGAAGATACTCTCTAAAAAACACCACCCATATTACAAAACAGTGGCGGAAAATAGTAAAAAATTTTGTAAGACGCAGCTAGGATTAGAAGGTATGTTCCGCCAAAACAGTAGGTTTCACTTTTCCTGCTAATGTTATTAGACTCCTTAGCCAAACTTCCTTGAGTCCTTTAGAAAGGAATTTACTACAGGTGTATTTACTGACCTTTGCAACCCTCTTTCCGTTGATTGTACGAGTTGACGAACATTGCTTTACACGTGTGCTCCACCAAACAGCGTGCCGTGGGATCCACCTTACAAACAGCTCCCCTACAGGGGTCATATCCACAAATGTACCTGGCTGGAACCTTGAAAACCCCTGTTGGTAAACACCCGTACATTATGGAAGTATCGGCGTTACTTTACCGATCAAGTTGGACTTATTTGACTCTAGGACCCACCGTTTTCCCAATTCTTTTAAGTTGAGATTGAGCTATCACTCGGTGAAACTCGTCACAGAAACCAAATTAAATTTGACAGCTAAAGAATAACATCAAAAAAGTAATTTTAAATTTTCCAACCTTTTGCCGTGTGAGCCCGCCAAGCTCAGTCGGTAGAGCATGAGACTCTTAATCTCAGGGTCGTGGAATCGAGCCCCGCGTTGGGCGCTTTTTTCTTTATTTTGTTACGAATGTTTTTAATTCTTTTATATTTACGAATTGAAAAAGTTTGAATATGCTTCACTTTCAACGGCTGTGGTAAATCAGAGACCATCGTTTCCAAAATTAGACTATGCAATCATGATTATTGCATTTGCGAATTGCGACTTCCGTAATGGAAACAATTATCTTGTACTAAAGAGCAGACACTTGCTTGAAATACCACCCTACCTTTGCATTTGATGGTCTTTCCAAAGGCGTCAAGGAAAACTGGATGGCATCTTGTGTTCACAACGCACTTAGCAGCCGCACCTTGAAGACACGTTGTGTATTTGCACGGATTGAAACGACACACGGCCTGGGGGTCTACGTTTAAGTACAAGTTATCCCCTGTGAAAGACACAGCAAATGCATTTACCTGACTTCTACATCATTGTCATCAATATCTCAGTATAGACTGTGTATGCGTATCTTCAACTACAAATTTCAACTTGGATTGTGGTTTATCCTTTAAAACACAAAGGGTGAATGGTATGTTATTTCTCATTACAACATCATCTCCGAATCACGCATTCGGGTCACAAAAATAAAGGAAATGATCACCAACTAAAAAAGCTCTTAGCTTGATTACTAAACAAATTCTCCCAGCCAGCACCTCAGAAAATGTATAGAGAAAAGTATGGAGAATATGCATACTGATGTTAGGGAGTAAAGATTAAATTACAGTTCTAAGTGTCGTGTTATTGATCTAAACACTCATCACAATATAGCAAACTCGCGCAGAAAGGATCTTTTTTTTTCACAGAGTAAGATCACAAAGTTGACGTGGACTCAAACAAAGAAATAAACAAAATTTTACCGGTACATTGCGAAACTTTCCTCTCCTCAGAGTCAAAGAACACCGGCCGACATTTGAAGTCACTGACGCATGTTGCATAAGGTAACAATATACATTTCGCCACCCTACACGGATTGTAACCACACACTGTCTGGGGGTCTATATCCACGATGGAATCTTGATCTGAAAGGCGATGCACAAAATATCGCTATATACTTGTATACTTCGTTTGTCTCCGAACTCCATAACTTTTAACTTTGGCGAGGATCAACAAATACCAGTTTAGTATCACCACTTTTGGGTATACTAACATAATAACGATCGCCCGGCTAGCTCAGTCGGTAGAGCATGAGACTCTTAATCTCAGGGTCGTGGGTTCGAGCCCCACGTTGGGCGCGTATTCTTCATATTTTTTTTTTTGACAAATGGAAAAAGGATATCAAATAGGGCGCTACGAATTGCGCTGATCAGTATCCAATGATTAAAACCTGTATACTAGAGAATTTTTTTCGTTTCCACCCAAAAATAATCGATTATTGCAGGTTCTTCCACATTTGCATTGGAATCATTTTAGTAAAAAAGTTATCTTAGTTGTTATGTATGATTGAAAGGAGTGTAAAAAGAGTTATAATACGAACCTTGGCATTTTTTACCATAGCAAGGCTTAACTTGTTTTTTTGCCCCTTTACATTTTTGTCCCCCATTGGCCGGTTTCGGGTTGTTACAATACCGCCGTCGTCTCTTCATTCCCTGACCGCATTTCTGTGAGCAAGAGGTCCAATCCGACCATTCCGAATAACCACCGTCAACTAAGTTGCACCAGGAGGGAAAACATAGAAGAGATTAAATCAAATGATCCTATTCTTTTCGTGTTTACCCTCCTATTGAAAAGGAGAAGAGCTTACGGTCTAGGAAAAGGGCGTTACGAAAGCCTGCTAGTTTTAATTGGCGCTTAGGCGTCTCTTAATTTAACCTGGGATTCATCCGTTGTTAATAAATTGATAAGCTTCCACAGGAACCCATTACCCGCAGCTGCCATCTCAGTTGTACCCTTGAGTCAACCCTGTCCCGTATCTTTTCATTTTTAGAACTGAGATATCTGCGGGGGTTCTTTAATCTTTCTGCGCTTTCCGCCATTATTGATATAATTTCGTGCGGCCTGCAAGTGACACAATAGAGACGTAACACAATAGAGACGACAGCTCTCTTATGATTGGCTATTATAAAAACACCCGCGAAAACCGCCGGGGGAGGTGCTTCTAAAAATAGAAAGATACGGGACAGGGTTGACTCAGAGGGTCAGTATGGAAGAGGGAAGCTCCGGGTAATAGGCTCCTGGCTTCCATCATACCTGCACACTGCTTGAGTTTACAAAGCTTAAGTTGAAAACGCGGTCCTTCGCAGTTTCTCCCGCCATTTGCAGGCGCTGGATTGGTGCAATATCGCTCACGTGACCTCAGTGCAGTTCTTCCACAAGCGTGAGGACATGACGACCACGTGGTCCATAGAGTGAAGTCGCCATCCACTAAAATGACAAAGAGCCGAGAAAACAAGAGAAACCGTTCTTAGTGTTTTAAGTCTTTATGTCAGTATGCATATTCTCCATTATTGTCCATACATCCTAAGGTGCTGACAAGGAAAATTTGTTTAACAATCGAGAGCTTTTATAGGTGCTGATCATTTCCTTTATTCTTGTGAACTAAATGTATGATTTTGGGTTGAAATTGTACGGAGAAGTAACCTGCTGGTCACTCTTGGAGGTTGATGGGCAAAATCTTTTCCCTCAAAGACTCCCAAACTCGTGAATCAGTGTAACGTTGAAATAACAGTAGCAAACGAATTGAATTTACTCACCTGGATCTGCGGTTTCACCTTCCTTGCTTTTGAGAAATTCACTTATATTAGCCAACGTATCCGAGGCAGACTGGTTTTGATCACTCGGAACCATGGAGTTGTCTATGGTAGGCTTGATCTTGCCTGCATCGCCTTCATTTATGGCACCACCTACCTGCGGGTCCTGACTTCCCGGGTCCTGAAGGCGGCTCAGTTCGTTTATTTCTTCACTGTCGCTCTCACCTTCATCTAGAAAATTCGGCATTGTCGAAGGGCATTAGGTACAGATTGCCACTTTCCTCTTGTTACTGATCAAGGGACAGGTGAACGATTGGAAAGGCGGATTGATTATTTTGTTAGCGACACTGTTTGCAATTCCCAAAGTTCATTTTGCCATTAATTAAGAGGTAAAACAGGGACAGGGAAACACATGACCAATGAATGTAAAGCTGAAATAAGACAGCGTGGCTTAATACGTTTTCAGTAAACCCCCCCCCCCCTCAAGGAACTCAATACCCAATGCAATGTTTTCTAATTCAGTTAAGACACATACCCTTGCCTTGCCTCTTAACTATACTTTTTTCCTCAGGAAGGAGAGACTCTATAATAGCGTCCAAGTCTGATGCTTTTCCTGTAATTAAAAGACCCCCGTTTATTTCACAACCGCCCACTATTGTGTTAATTTCGGCAAACCCTGCAATGTCCATTAACGCTTCTTGCTTCACACTTAGTACCACCACCTTTGTGGATAACAATCGCCCGGCTAGCTCAGTCGGTAGAGCATGAGACTCTTAATCTCAGGGTCGTGGGTTCGAGCCCCACGTTGGGCGCGTGTTCCTTTTTTTTATATAAGAAATGAGGATATTATTTAGGCGCTACGAACTACGCTGGTCAATAGCCAATGATTAGAACCTGTACACTAGAGATTTTTTAAATTTCAACCTAGATAAAAAGTGACCAGAATTAATTTGTCGTTGTAACATCGGATCAATGTCAGTATCTGAGCAACTGTGTACTTACCCCTCCCCTAACATGAACCTTCAGTTGTTATCAGCTGACTGTTGTTGGTTTCTGGGAGGAGTAGGTGTGCAGTTGCTCAGAAACTGAAACTGATCTACTATACCAATACATTTTAAACAGAAAGGCATAAGTATTAAAAAAATTTCTTATATCCGACTATATCTTTAAATTTAACACCAAACTCTATCTTAAGGCATGAGAGTTGTAAGGCAAACAGTGTGAAGAATTGAAAGGGTTATCAGACTAAACAGAGTCGTGGTAAGAGGTATGAATAAAGAGGGTAAGTTTCTAAATAAACTGTGGTGCTACGTCGGTGGAAGTAACGAGGTAATTTTGATTTTATCAACTGAGTTGATGATATAAACTGGCCACCTTTAAAAGTTTCAAAGCTGACGTTTCGAGCCAGCGTTAGCCCTTCGACTGAGCGAAACTTGTGGTAAGAGGTTTCTCGATCAACTGAGGATGGCTTTCCAATCTTGCGCACGCCCTGCACGCCTTGCTCGCCCTGCACGCCCTGCACCTACAATCACATGCCAACTCATTCACTAACTTCCTTGTTGTGTTGAGGCGCTTAACTCTACCTATTTCTCTACTGAAGTAATTGCTGCTGCCTGTTTTGGCTATAAAGTTTTGGCCATAAATCTTTTTCTTCGCCTCATTCTATGTTCGTCTCCACCCCTTCTCGCGTAAACTGTTTTTAATAGCTTTAATAATTCCTTGAGGACACCGGGATAATGTTTCATGATGGAAATTCACTTAGACTGATGGTATTATATTACATCTGTATTAATTCGGTAGACATTCAGTGCCACTTACCTTTGACCGGTAATGGTTTGTGTAACTCCGTTGAAGCTATGTTTAAAAGGGCAATTAAGAATAGTACAACCACCAAATTATCAGGAATAAACAAAAACTTCCCCGCTTTCTTCCTGTGCATTTTCAGCTCCTAAGCTACCAAAAAGAGGCATTCCCCATCTATCAAGAGAAAAATAATTCAAAGTGAATTCCGCCTTAAGGCAGGGGTATCTACAAAATGAAACTTATCTAAATCTGGGATAAACTAATTCACTATATTTAAACAACACGAACAGGTGAAATGACAGCATGGCGGTTTTAACAACTAAGCAGAATTTGTCATCCTTTCACGGAAGCCAAGTTAAAATCTCGATGTTTGCAATGGGAGATCAATTTAAATTTAGGTTTCATCTGGTTAATAAAATAACGTAGCAGTTAATCTTTCCTAGCTTTCTAAATTTAACCTGGAGAGTGTACAGTCGATTGTTTTGAAGTACACATTACCTTTTTATGGTGGCAAAACAGGTGTTGAATCGCACATCCTTTCCTCCAATTAGCGACTCGTTAAAACAAAATATTAGAAACAGAAGTAATATTTTCAAACGGGAAAGGTCGGCAGAAACTTAGCGAAAGCTTTACCGCTCTGTAACGATGTGGAATTTCTTTGAACTGACATCACAATTCACTGACCCGAATAGGTTTGGTGAATAATGCAATGTCAAATTCAGGATTTGGTAAGCTTCAGTAGGCGCAGTACGCCCGAAATGAAAAGTAATTCGCCAGTTACTGATGTACTATCGTAGGGATTGACTGACTGTCTTCTAAGGTAATCTTTACTATGAAACGATCATATCAAGTAAAAATGTTTTATTTCGGAAGAGTTGAAAATGGAAATCACACCATCCCAGTGTCGAGGCAAAAAATGTTCACTGGTGCATGTAAAATAAATCCTGTCTGGACTGGTGATATCGACCGGTACCATGTTATTACTGATAATTTTCCGCTCCAACACTTCTAAGTACATGTTTTTATTCAAGTTGATTACATTTACGCTTAAGACAATTTCAGGGAGTCGTCAGGAGAAAGTCACATCGCGTCATTAATGTAGTTCGACAAGACAGTCTTGTTAAAGCGTCAACTTAATTTTTATCGAAGGTCTCTCGTAATTAGGCGACATTTACATCAAATCTTAAACGTAAGAAAATACTAAATTGTTGTCTCTTTGAACACGAGGAGGATTAAAAGTGACAAATTACTGGAATAACAAATGCAAGGCATGAGTTGTGGCTGTGTGAGACCACTAACTGCCAACAGTTTGTGTTAGTAACATGGTACATAATGTTGTTTAGCTTTCTCCATTTACACAATGAACTACGCCAATGCTGTATCTTCATCTTTCACCACTTGCCCGGGAGGAGCCTGGATTCTCGGCCTTCGACAGCAGTAAATCTTGTAATCCTCTTTCCATGCCTCCGCTTGTTCCACGGTCTGTGGCATTTCACTTGTTACAGTTTCTGGTAACCAGAATGCCATTAAACCAGAAGCCACAGACAAGGCTCCAAATATCAACAAGGGGAAAGTTTTTCTCAGATTGGGAAGGTCAGCCTTAAAATCAAAGAGGAAAAACTTGATTTATAGACATTTTAGTTACACTTCACAGTTATCCACCATCGGTGTGATGAATATTTGTTTAATTTTATACTATACCACACAAGTTTATTTTTGGCAATATACCTAAAAATGGACGGAGATTTTAACAACACTCGGCGCGCCGTTTGGTCTCTTTGACTGTTGGGAGGTGAATATTAACCGCTCTTAGCTAACCAATCAGCGCGCGCCTAAAGCACTATTCACTGTATGTTATATACTAAAGATAGATTTTCAACAATTGACATGCACGCACTAAAATTGGTGAAAGCTACCTCTGCAAAGAACGAATTCCTTGAAGTTTAACAATAAAATAAGAAACATTACCAGCAAAACGATATATGGAGCAACTATTCCACCAATCCTGGCAATCATCGAACACAGTCCAACGCCATTGTTTCTGTACAAGAAAAGCAATAAATAACATTATCATACCTGGGAAATTTCTGAAAATTATTTATCCTTTTCAGACATCAGAGTTTCAATTGAAGGTAACGGTTTGTGCACTAGTGTATATTACAAACCTACAGACTCGCATAATTACTTGTTATATTCGTCTTCGCATCCATCTCACGGTTAACAATTCCATTCCTTTTTCTCAGTTTCTAAGACTTCGTCGTTTATGTAGTGATGACTCTGATTTCCACCACAAATCAGAGTCAATGTGCCATTTTTTCGATAAACGTGGTTACCCTGNGTCATGTTCCCACCAATAACGTAGCTCCATTTTCTGCCTTTAAAAGCACACACAACCCACAATTCCTCTATTCGCTCCGACGAAGGGCTAACGCTCGAAACGTCAGCTTTTGTAATCGTTACGGTGGCCAATTTACCATTTCAACTTTGTTGATATATCCAAATTATTTCGTTACTCCCACCGACGCAGCCCCAAACAGTTTCTTTCGAAACTATCAGCCTTTATTCATTTATATTTATCATCGTCACCATCATCATCTTTGTCTCTGTGGATATCATTATTGTGATTGTTTTCATTATTATAATCATCATCGTTAGAATTATCATCATTGTTATCATTAATATGCCAGTTATGCCAAATTGAAATTATCTGAAAAAGCATACCACACAAATGACCTTACCAATGTGTTCATACCTTGTACACTGTTTCTATCTCATTTCACATATTGTTGCCTCTGCTTAACTCTGTCACCTTACACATGGTCTCGCATTCAACCTGCGCTCGACAATGGAACTATTGTTAAATCAAATGTCATACCTTATCACTGTCGGATACAGCTCCGCTGTGTATAGATACACAGACTTGAACGTGGAAACGACGAAAAATTTTGCGAACATCACAAGGACGATGACGGCAACTTGGTATTCTGGCAAATAAGAAGAATACGACATCCTCACTACTTTGAAGTTAAATGTTTACAATGATCCTTCACAGAGAAACTAGAAATAAGATGATTACATGCAACACGTTAACATACACTCGCAAACAACTGCCACAGCCCTCACACTGCATGTAATACCTTCAGTATTTACATCACATGGCCGGAGCCCACAGTAACACTATTTTAGCATATCGCCCCAAATAGTATCATGATTACCTGGTGTAAAATTTGATAAGAGATAACATGGACGCAAAGGGCTTTCCTCAAATTAATCTGATCCTTTATCATGAAGTGCCGACAGTAGGCTTGAAAATTGCATTTCAGTCGTTGGTTATTTCAGAATGGTAAGACAAACATCTACAAAATCAGACTATTCTAAAGAAAACAGGGGACTAAGATGGACTACCTCCACCCCCCTTCCAACATTTCTACCGATTTCCGGAGTCGTTTGAGAGCACAAACCATCAGGCCAGCGCATCTCCAAATCGATTTTCCGTGTGAGTAATCGCTTGCGTGATGTACGCCAAAAGCAATTACTGTTGTCGTAACAACCTGTGGATCCCTGCTCGAGAAATTTAAGTATCATAACGAACCTTTACCGCTTGGTAATGCCAGAGCCAACAGGCAGGACACCCCAGCAAGCGTCATGTACGAAGAGTACGTCAAACGTCGACCAAACCTGGGTCAGAAGAAATGTATCAAAAGACAGTTCATGATCAATGATCGCTTCATAAGGTCGCGTGATCTTAGAGTCAGGAACTGATGTTCGCGTTTATCATTTAGATCAATTTACAACAATAACTATTATGACTCCGGTCAAACATTCAGAATGGGAAGAGAGAAAATAATTCGAGTAAAGAAAGTTCCCAGTTATTATTAGTAGTCGTTCTATTGTAATAACCACAGAGCTTATGAGGGAAAAACTGTATTTTCCCATATGTTCAGAAAGGGCAAAGTTGGTCCTAGGTGGTTTCGTATACCTTTGTAAGCAATAACAGCATAGTGCAGTGGATGGAAAGTCTACCACAAGGAGAAGAAAAAAGTTCAGGTACATATTTCCAGCCAGATTCCTAATGTTGTAGTTGATGCCGTAGAAAACCAGGGCGTTTACACACCTACAAGACAAAAGTCCCATTTATGAGTAAAGACATGGAAAGGAGTAACCTTTGTTGGCATTGTAAAAACGCGAGGAGTGGGGTATTCGCTCATATCCCAATCATATTAATATGGGAATATCAACTTGGAAGAAACAAGGATTGTTGTTTGAAGAAATAAAGTCACATGTTGTAGTTTTTTCAACAAACATTGTCTAAAAAATATTTTAACTTTCTCAAAAGTGCCATGCGATTGCAAGCTGTTAGAAGAAAGACTGATTTTACTTTCATGTCCCTTCACTGTTTTATTCCTTTATTTTTATTCTCACCAGTTGAAAAACATAATTAAAGTTCGTTTCCGTAACTTGGGAGTTTTCACCGTGTCAAGAATTCCGTATTTCTCGTCTTCAAACTTTCTTGCATCGTTCTTTCTGACTTCTTGAATCACGTGTTTTAACTGTTTAGAATCTACAATGACGTGGTTGTACTTAGCGTATTTCATCAACACATCGTGAGCCTCGTCAAGGTGGTTATTGGCAATCAGCCACCGGGGAGAGCGAGGTATCCACCTCAAAAACAACCAAAAGAAACATCATGTTTAAAGGACTGGAGACGCACACCTATGACTATTGTCATTTCCCTATTCGACCGAGCTGATTCCACTGAAATCCTTTTTGTAATCAGGCTTCCCTGATTTCTCTTAATACTGAAGCAGACTGACGAGAAAAGAGCTCGTGCCCTTTGGGGAAAGGTTAAGAAACAAGGTCAAGTTCAAAGACTGCACGTGTGGCCTTCCTCTCTCGTTGGACTGGATCATAAAAAAATGATCGACCTTGTTCGGAAAACCACTTAACTTAGGGACCACTCATCGTTTATCGCCTGGATATGGGGGGGGTGAAGATTTACCCAGGCTGACCCCCGCATAAGGCTCTGTAATTTTCTTATGACACCCTCCCTTGTTGAAAGTCAATTGGCAGTCAATATTCTATAGTCCCCCCTATATACTCTGTTGGTGACGACTGACACCCCCTCCGTTCTCCTTGAAAACCATGTGACTTCCCCCCCCCAAAAAAAAACAAAACAAAAAAAGAAACAAATCCTCCACCCCCGGACAATGAGTAAGGTCATCACATTCTATACTGAACTCATGCTTGGGAGCAGGTTGTTAAAAAAAGAGACACAAGGTCAAGTTTGATGACCGCACACGCGTCTTCCTTTCTTGTTGGATTGGATTAAGTTTCGTTAGCTAGCTATCAAAAAAATCAATCATCGACCTTGAAAACCACTTACCACCAAGCAACGAGGGGAAGGAAGCTAGGTAACGACACTGCTAGCATGACGTATCGCCAGTTTGGTATCAAATAAGCAAGTAAGGCGAGAAAACATCCACCAACACTGAGAAAGAGAAAGTTGACCATGCCTATGTAGGAGCGATGAGCGGTGACGACCATTTCGACACAGTACACGAACCGCACCAATAAACAACCAACGGTGCCAGTCCCGGCAAAGAAGCGAAATAGAGAGAACAACGACAGACAGTCGGCGACAGCTGACGCCACAGCGAAGGCAGCCTACGGATAATGGAACAAAGGAAAATAAAAGTTAGTTGCAATCGACATAGATATTTTCGTACCATCAAACGACTACTTGCTACTTACCAGGACTCCAACGCTCAAAAAGAATGAGAACTTCCTTCCAAAGTTATCCGAGATGCTACCAAATGTGATTGCACCAACGAACAGACCAGCCATAAAGACAGCTTGAGTCATCGCCTTCAGGTGTCGGCGGTCACAGATTAAATTCCACTGAAATAAAACAACCAAGGGTTTTATGCGAAAAAAAGAAAAGAAAACTGAGACCTTATATTTTCTTACCACAAGTTTCTGAAGTGCATTACAAATATTTTGGGTTTACTACCTTCCAGTGCCAATGGCACTTTGCCTGCATCTAATTAGTCTGTTCCAAAGACTGCAAGCATACAAAAAGTTCTGCAGCAAGAGATTTTGGGTTCAATATGAACAGTCGACTGGCATATGCTAATACTTTTCGCTCTCTTGAAAAACTTAGGAAACGTTTAATTATGTAAATTACCTCGCATATGACGAAATAAAACAAGCTCAGAATGACGGAGCGATAAGATCACGATGTTTTCAACCATTAACATGGGTTAGTCTAGGGCAATCCATCGACACTGCTTTAGAAAGCCACGAAATCGTTACTATTACCAAGTTTGGGATCGACTTGTTCATAACTGACGGAAAATGGGGTTCTGTCCTGGTGTACCGGTTCACAAGGGAATTACCATTGTTCTTTCTTTGTTTCGGAGTTATTGTTAGCTATTGTGTATTGTTTGGTCTTTTGTATTGGCTCTTGTGAACCGGTACACGAGGACAGAACCGAAAATGGCTGCGATATGTACCGAAATTTCGTGAATAGTGTCGATATAATGAGGTTTGAGTTTGTGTCCCCAACAACAAATATTGGTGAAGTTTTGCGACTTTGCAGAGTCATATATTCGTTAGGTTTCAATACATCATTCTCAAACTCGGTAATTTCTTACTTGAGAGACAGCGCTGGTAAAAGGACCGCTGAATTCGTATTCATGGCAACTTGAGCAGCAACCAGAAGCACATGTGTCATTTACCGCCATTGAAACGCAGATGAAGGGTGGCGAAGCACCGTAAAACACCTGAACTAAGAGCTGAGCGCCAGTTGGAATAGAAACCAGGCACATGAAAGCATAAAGGACCATTTGGTAACGACCGAAACCACCAGTTATTTTGAGAAGGTCGTCGAACTCGTGGGTTTTGTTTTCCTTTGTAGATCGGTGCTCTGTTGAATCCTCGGGATTGTCTACTTCATCCATTTCCATCTTCTTCAACGAAATGGTATCTGCACCTTGGGATCTAAAGGAATGTATTCAAATCATGGGCTTGTAACGTGACTTGCTAAATGTAAACAGCACCCAGGTCACGCAACAAGCTGTCGGTCAAAACAACGGCTTTACTGGTCTCCTTCTCTGTGTCACACAACGCAAGAAAGAGAAAGCTCATTGAAGGAGACTAGGGCTGCTCCGGAGAAAGATTGTGGTCTCACGTCCAATTATAATGGGTTTATTTCGACATCCTTTCTCAACAACACTTTTGACGGTCCAATACATTCAACAAATGGTAAACACCACAGCGTCAGAAGCCCAATACTTGGAGCGTTAACGTTCAACTGGTCTTTGTTTATGTCACGGTGTTTTCACAGACAAGTCTATTTAAGTTTGAATTTACCGCGAAATGGGATTCCCCACGGAAGCCCTTCGACCAATCACGATTAGCGCGTAGCTGACTTGTAGCTTGACTCGTGACTATGCTCGGGCAGCCTATTTCCCGAGAAAAGATAGTCTAAAAAATAAACCGTTCTGGGAAAATGCCGGGACAAAGGGTCAGTATGGGAGTTGAACGCTCCAAGTTCTGGGCTCCTGACAGCGTACACTCTTGAGTTATGGATGCACGCGGGAGGTTGCTAAGTACGAAAGAAGCGTAAGAGTCGCTCGAGGCAATAGCTGTGAGCGACTCCAGCTTCTTGGGTGCAAAGCAAACCTATTAAGTGCATTCATAACTCAATAGCGTATGCTGTGCTGTTTACCATTTGTTTTATACATACTTGGAAACATTTGTTCACGTCAGCAGCGTACACCCATGGGCAAATAGTAGACAACTAAATTGACCAATCAGAGCGCACACTTTACGTGATTTATGTTATGGAGGCGCTTGTCCACCTCTAGCTGGACCGGACAAAATCCACTGATAAATACAACGTACCGCACCAAACTTCTTTGGGAACGCCTCCTTCTTTATTATTGTATTATACCGTGAAACTAAAAATTGATTTAAGAAATTAGGGACGCGCAAATAGATTAAGAAATGCTTCGGGTAAATCAAACTTACATTATTGCCGGATCTGGCAAGAGTTGATATCGATTGAGCCTTTCCTTCCTTTTCTTTACTAATTTCTTTCCTTACGAGCACGAGTGCTTACCAAAAACTGATCAAAGGGCCTTTTATCAAATATATTGAATTACACTTAGGAGCGTGTGACGAGCCAGGCACCTAGCGTGACTTTAAAGATTATTATCCAAATCAAACAATGAACAGAAACTCGTGCTATAGGGGCACTTACATATGTTAGAATATGCTTTAAGAGCATGTTACAAATAAAGTCACAAATATCAACACGTTTCCCTGCTTTCAGCAAGTGGAAATAATTTAAAAAAGGGACATTCATTGCACGAGAGTTGAGAAATGGCGTTAAAAACAAATGGTTTGTAGAGTTCATTTTATATAAATGTAAAAACACTGTATTGATAATTAAACTTATTTGTCAGTTGAATTTAAATAAAAATGATATACAGACATTGAACTCTTAACTTGTTGAAATAGATAAGTCTACCTAAGGAATGCTTTCAATACTCCTCAAAAAGAAAACGTTTAAAAGTAGAAATAGGTGGTGAGAGGAATGTCTTTGTTTGTGTCTTCACTAAACAGTATTTTCTTCCCCTTCTGCAATTTCTTCCTTATCCATTTCTTGCGAATGCGGAGCTGGGATCTGTAGCTTTTTGCAACAGTAGATCTTGTAGTCTTCTTCCCAGGCCTCCTTGTTCAATGGTTTGTGGCATTTGACTCGTCATGGTTTCTGGTAACCAAAATGACGTTACACCAGCGGCCACACCCAATACACCAAGAATAAGCAAAGGAAAAGTTTTCTTAAAGTTTGGGAAATCGGCCTGGAAATTGATAAAATAAAAAGTTCTATAATTTTCTAGGCTTCATCGAAAATAATGGGACATGGGGCTTGTAGATATATAATAGCCATGGAATTATTCTGGCCTTTTTGGGAAAGAAAATCAGGATTTACTTAAATGCGAAATCTTTCTGACTCGTCATCTTCAAGAAAAAAGTGATCCCCTAAAATAGCCTAAAACGTCTTTCACGTGTATCTGCAAAGTGACCGAATCAGCTTATAAAGAGCTCTCTATACAGTGGTTGCACAGGCACTAATTGTAACCCTGACTACGCCGTCTGCACCTCGAGGTTGTTGTCTTAAATTTGTCTCTTAGCCAAAACCAGCTTAAGTGATTAGGAGTGTTAGTCACGTGGAATCTGTCCTTGTGCAACGTCAGTTGTATCAATTGACTCTTGTACGCCCTGTCATGTCATCAGTATGCATATTCTCCATTCTGTTCTCTATACATTTTCCAAGCTGTTGACAAGGAGAATTTGTTATTTCCTTTATTCTCGTGACTTGGTGGAGATATTTTAGGAGAAATTAGATGCTAGTCCATGGATCAAAAGGGTTAACACTTTGAGCTTCCCTCCTCCAATGTATTGTCCTTTAATTTAACAAATGATTCCTTGAACTGATAAATGATAGTTTCTTGAAGACGGCTGTTAGCGAAGATTCGACAGGATTGACAAATGATCAAACTTTAAATTCTACTACCTCATCTTAATCACAGTGGTCGTCGTTTATGGTGGGTGAGGTGTCCTGTCTGTTCTTAGGCTCTTAGCTATGACTTATTCTAGGTCTCCTGTCCCATAAGATTCGAAGCGAATAAGAACTATTGAATTAATTATTATTAATTATTATTAATTATTAACTATTGAATTAATGGGTGCACTCACGAAACTTGACGTCAGTAAAGTGTCGCTTTAACACTGGGTAGGGGAAGCTGTTCCTACGAGCCCTAATGTAAACCAGGAGTCAGCTCATTGCTTGATTACTTTGAAGATATTCAGAGGAGACCGACTTTTCAAACTGAATCGACTTCGTCAAAACGTTTGAGTGAGATAAGTAGAAGTAGGTATTAGCAAACCTTTACATTTTATTTCTTTAAGACTGGTACAAGGAAAAGTAATATAAACGTGGTCATTACATGAATTAACTATGTTACAATGTCTGTGTGCTTAAAAGTGAGGGGAAGTGCCGGGCAGGAAAGTATTGGGCTCTCAATCGTGAGGTACGGAATAAGCGTGAACTGAACCAAACAGCATTTTATCACATGTGCACCGCTCTGTCTTCTTTTACCTTGCCTCTCGTGGGACTACACGGCTTTTCCGAACCTATTAACGCCATCGAGTGCGGCCCTCCTACTGGGATTTGTGTCTCATGTTTTCCAGTAAAACCGGCCGCGTGTTGGGCAATGAGGGTCATACGATATATTAATTTCTTTTCTGTTGCCTGATATAAAATTTGCAGCTATTCTTTGCATTATCAATCTGCTTTGAAGTAAGACTTTTGTCATAAATTTGTAAACAGGCGATGCGACCGCGATAATTTCTTTTATCTCCGACTCGAGCTCCCATTCTAATCGGATAGTTGGTAGCCAGTCTAATACGGCCTATGTGTTTGAAATCTTCAAACTTTCCATTAATCCACAGGCCGGCATCTCCAGTTCTGTGGTCATATGTTGCACCGATAAAATTCCATCGATTTGGTGCAACCTTAGTGCTTTGTAATGGTGGAATTAATTCACGATTACCTCTGTGAACAAAGTGCGCAAATAGCTTTCTCGGTTGTGCTAACCACAGATTTGTTCCCCACCCGTCCCGCCTAAAGTTGAAGATTGGTCCAGCCTTTTCAGGATATATCCAGGCCAGTATTGATAAAGAATCCTTTGTATCTAGTTTACCATTGTTTGGAAACTCAATAAAGCTGTCTGGTGTTCCAAGAAATGACAGAGAGCCACCTTCCTTCTTATAAGGCCCTTGAGCAGTTTTGACGTAACTTTTTACGCCAGCAAGGTTTCCACCAATTACATCTCTTGCTTCGTACCTCTCGTTTAATGGGAACAGCGCTACTGGTCGCACTTTAGCTAAAGTAAACGAGATAGATAAAGAGTATAATTCAAGTGTTACATATTAAAGCATCTAGAATGAAAAACTCCATTTGCCGGAATGTTTTCAATCATATCACCGCTCAGTTACCAAATTTTTCAACCAGGTAGGTGGTCAAAAAGACATCACGGACACTGCCAGGGTCAGAGCCTTCAAAATACTCTCTTTGATTTGAAAGCTTACCTGAAGTGCTACCGGAAATAACATCTTTAACAAGATTATCTTCCGTACCCCATACGTCTGTGACGTCGACAGGGTCTCCTTGTTTCGGCGTCAGAACAACTTTTCCAATTTTTACCAGCCTCTTTCCACTTGCGACAACTTGGCTCCCCGAGCTTGAGCTTCCACCTTTAATGGTCATTATTCTCGAAGAACTAGCTCCTGAACTAGAAGTGCTACCTCCACCTTTAATTGATATCGAGGAGCCCCCACCTACAGTAGAACCAATACTTCCACCCGTCACTGACATTGAGGAACTTCCTCCAGTAGTGCTACTTCCCCCACCTGTAATCACACTGGAACCTCTTGTGGTTAATCCGCCACTTACACCTTGTGAGGAGCTTCCCCCTCCAGTAGAGCTACTTCCTCCACCTGTAATCACACTGGAGCCTCCTGTGGTTGATCCACCGTTTACACCTTGTGAGTAGCTACCCCCTCCGAAAGAACTGCTTCCTCCGCCTACTGTTCCCATGAGGGTTTAAAGAAAAGAAAACAAATGTCGGGACTGTGTTCCATTGGAATGGTTAACGTAATTGGTTGAAAGTTTCTGACTGAATTCCTTCCTACATTCAGCAACAACGACATACTTGAAGTACAATGAAACGGTTAGGCTAGCGAAGGATCTTTCTTGGGTCATATTTTAAAATCTTTTTTTTTTTCATTATTACAACAAAAAGTTTGTTTCGCTAGAATCTTAAAAGAATGCACCAGAAATTACATTGTTTAAACGTCATATTATAAATATCAAGATGATTCATGGAAATTTACAACAAGTAGCCTTATTGATGATGTCCTTTTGATCTATAGGGGTCAAAGTTCTTGCCTTGTCACCCACCTATCTGTTATTGAGAGATGTTGTATCTCAACTTCCAAAGCCAGCTTAATTTTGACTATCAATGTTTACTAATAAATCGGGACTTTGTTCTACTTTCACTTACGTGAGGCCTGAAATGATCCGCCCGCGGCTGAGGGATAAAATCGACAATCATTATTTCTGTTATTGTAATGCAAAGTGAAATTATACGGGTGTCGGGAGAATCGCTTGTTAATTGGAAAAAGTCTAAAATGCAAGTCGCGAAGAAAACAAATACTTTAGTAAATCTTTTCGTAAGTCATGTCCGATTCCTATAAAGAAGTGGCAGCCTTGGCTTCGAGCACGGCTGCGTTTTTAGGTCAATGGCCTAATAATTTAAAAACCTCAGCTTTGATAATGAAAGCCTGAAACCAGCTTGAACATCTGAGAAACTTTGTAGGCTGGGGCTAGATTGATGTCGACAAATAATGCGCCAAAGAAACACTGTTTTAACGCTCCGTTGAAGTCCTAACAGTGACACGAGAAGACGTGTATACAGAGATTGACTTTAAACTGAAGCTGTATATATGAAATCATTTACTTTAAACAGTTACAAAGAATGATGATCAAACTAAACGAAAGACTTACCTTTACAACAAGTGTCTGCGACAGAACCCACCAGGGACCACAGCGCGTCGAACTCCGTTTTAAACATGTGCTGCGAATTTGGGTCGGTAGCTATCTCCCCTAGCTGTTTACTACAGTACTTCGTACCCATTCCTATGCTGATGACAGTGACTCCTGAATCTCTGAGCTTCTGAGCAGGAGCAGAAATTCCATCAGTTGACTTACTGCCAGCTAAAACACAAGCAATGTTGGGTACACCGGACCGTGCACTGGCATCAAAGAGAGCTTCCTTAGCTTTTAAGAGAGCTTTACCAATCTTCGTTCCACCTCCTGGATACTGAATTCCACCGATTACTGCAATCACCTCTGATTGGGTGTAATGCTGGTCGAACCCCGACACAACCTGCCACCAACGGTTCAGGTTAAGCAGAGTTAGCATTGTACAATACAGAGGCGGATCCAGGAATTTTTGATTGGAGGGGTCCAAACTTTGGTTCAGAAAGGACTGTTGGACTCTTTTGAGGCAAATTAGTTCTCCCCCACACACCCCCACATCCCCTCCCACCAGTCGCCGTTGCACGTTATAATTCCTTGGCCGCTTACCGTTTACTTGGATTCATTAAAAAAAATCAGCCAGTTAAAAAGTGATATGCGATCCTGTCTCAAAGTTGTAAGCATCAGGTCTGATAGGGGGGGTCCGAAACCTCCAGACCCTCCCCCTGGATCCGCCATGGCAATATCGTACCACATTTGATCCAGCACTTGAACAAATACAATTCCATGCTCAAACGGTAAAAAGTTTCCTTCCTCGTATCGCTTACCAGCCAATGACACAGACTTTTCAAAAGGTTCGTTTTTAACATGCACACAGTATGTGAAGTCTGAGACTTCCATGGTTTTGGCTCTGGAGTCAGAGTGTCTTGTAAATGATTGTAAAGTGTTTTCCAACCGCTCTAATTGCTTAAGGAAAGCAGGAACTGGTAAAATAGTTTTCTATATTTCTGTCAATGGCTGTATGCAAATCTGATTTGATGCAAAAATTGAAAAAGATTTTGCAGCGATTCAAAAGAAACTTATGACAATTCTACCTTTGCGTCATCGTCAAAAACAACGAGACCAATATGAGTTCCTTCACTAGAGACAGCGAAACGTCTGGTAAGATCTTGGACAAAACTCAAGATCTTTGTAAAAGTTCCTTGTCCGTTACTTTCTATGCTTCCTGATCCATCGATAATGAAACCAAGGTCGGCCTTTGCTTTACAGTCTACAAAAAGAGAAATTAAGTAGGATCATGGTGCTTGCTTGGGTGTAAAGAGCCGGAGGCTTATTAGTTACCATTGTTCTCAGTGGGCGATTTTTCTCAACTCAGCTAACATGAGCTAAGAAAGCATCTGCATCAGCCTGCCTCCTCCGAGTTCAATTTCGAAAATTTCTCAGGGACCACCAGTTTATTTTTAATTGAAGCCCTGAATACAATTCTTGAAGGGTTACCTACTAAATACAACTGTCTGGTTCCTGAGAAACTGTCATCACTTACAACAGTCTGAATACCTTGCGACGGCTTACCTCCTCCAGACGAGCTGCTTCCTCCTCCTGTAATCACACCTGATCCTCCTGTGCTGGACCCTCCAGTCACACCTACACCTTCCGTGTCCAGAAAGGTTGAAACAGAGAATCCTTCTTAGCGTATGATCACAACATGAAACACCTGAGTCGGTGTTAGTTTGGATATCTATAACTGTGCCATACTTGACTATAGTAAAAGTGAGGCATACTGAATTAGCCGGTTCCCAGATACAGCAACCGTCATCAAGAGGATGACTTTTATCAATATTTTAGGGACCACGTACTTCCTCCAGTAGAGCTGCCCCCTCCAGTAGAGCTGCTTCCTCCACCTGTAATGACACCGGCTCCTCCCGTGCTCGATCCACCAATGATCCTGCCGCCTTTCGACGTTCATAAAAGGATAATTACATTCATTTATGATTAATATGTTGAACACTGTCTGTCATATTTTGAATACTAACAATTTTGTATTAATCATTAATGTAGAAAAGGTTTCCGCTGATAAAAAGGGATTGAATCAATCTAGGGCAGCTAGCATTTTTAAGTGTGATCATTTCCATGTAACTTGAAATAAAACCGCCAATTCCATCTTTAAATACTGCGTTTTTGTTTGGGCGGGGGCAGGATTTCCTGCTAAATTACAACTGCTTCATAACTTTTGACGAGCTACCACCCCCAGAAGAGCTGCTTTCTCCGACTGTAAACAGACCGGATCCTGCTGCACTTGATCCGCCAGTTACACCTACACCTCAACCATGATAAATACCAATCACTTTCACTTTCACCTTCAAAAAGAACGCTACAAACTGTCTGCGCAAGTTTGAGTATTTGCAATCGTGGAGTAATCGGTGCCTGTTAGACAAAGGATTACTGACTCTTTTGCCAGCTAAAGAAAAGACATAATAGCAAATCTTACATGTATACTCAAATTTTGCTTTTGGCGTCAGTTTGAACTTACAAACACAGAAGTATTTGTCATGCAAAACCTTATGAAAAATGTACTTCATGTAACCATATCTAATTGCTATACTCTTTCCGATATAAAGGGATATAGAATACGGTGAAAATGCAGTATCGAAGTCATGAATTGAAGTTGCATACGATACCAATTTTTTTTGATAACGCTTGATATCTGGGACAGTTGTAATCGACCTTAACTCTAATAAAAGGGAGTAATAAGACTAAGTTGTACGCGTTTACTAAAATAAATTGTGTTCTCCATAGCAAAACAGTCGAATAAGCAGGAATAAATCATAAAATAAAATTATCTCTTTTCAAGCTCAAAATATAACAACACCAAGATGGCCGCTGCTGAGAAAAAAGTACCCAGGCCTCCGGTTCCCAGTGGAAAAAACACAAAAGAGCGGGAAAACGAGTGATATTTAAACAAATCCTTCTTTAAAAACTTGTACAGGGCATTCTCTGTGATCACACTTGGACCGTACCTATCGATGGAGTTTGTGCTAACGATCCTCCAGCCCCTACAAGACAACACATTTATATTATCTGTTATGTACATATTGCGAAGTTTAGCTCTGGTTCTTACTTCAGAGGTGATTAGAATATAAAGACATACTTTTTAACATTTCAGATTAAAAGCATGAAAATATGTAAGAGTAACGCGTGTATCCAAAAACCTTTTTTAGGTGTAAAGAACTGTTTCTAATGTTTATGAAAACCTGCTTTAAAAATGAGATCCATTACTTCATTGCGCTTTATATATGTCTGAATGCACTCAAAAAATTAATCTGAAGACGATGTAAGGCAGCACCAAGCCCCATCCCCCCTACACACCTCGCCCTTAAACACAAGTGGGAGGTAATTTATCCAGGAAATAGGATAGCTATTACACGCTAAGGGACTGTTTCAAAAGTTTCTTAAATCAATCTTTTAACATCGGATACTTTTTGTTAAGAGTAACATCATCGCGAATACTTTTATTAGACGACTAAATTGAAAAAACTACATGAATACACAGGGTGAACTAAGGAAACGTAAATCCTGGAACTTTTAGGACACGAGTTTCTCACTTACCATCACATGCCATCTTTTTTATTTTCGGGAGAATCTGATCTAGATCATCAAAATCGCCTGTTATAACATGTGTAGCATCTGGGTCGGTTGCCATCGCGTCCAGTTGGTCCTTCTTGTATTGTGTACCAATTCCAAAACAAAAGATTGTCACTCCCATGTCACGGAGCTTCTTTGAGGGATCCTCGATATAGTCCTGTTGGTAAAATTTGACAGAATTATTAGTGTATTTCATGGTTTAAACCAGTGAACACGATTACAAAAAGAACGAGGGAACGAAAAGAATTAGGGAGAACAGATTGTGAGAGTAAGGCTTGAGTTCTCAATATTGTGACAAGTGTATAAAATTCTTCTTTATCAGGAAGGAATGTCACACGAGGACAACTCAAACAGCTTCGAGGACAGGATGGGTTATTGGAAAGTACCTCACCAACTGACATATATCAAATAGGGATGCCTTGTTTCGAAGACGTTAACTTGTGTTTTGTGGGGGTGATGCGAGTTCAGAAGCATAACTATTTTAAAGAAATTGTCATTATAAAAATTCTGACCTGGGATGCTCCATCAGTCATAACAATAAGGACATCTCGGACTCCTTGCCTCGCACTGTTTTCAAACAGTCCAGTGCGCACCAGATCGAGGCCTATTCCAGTGTAAGTGCTTTTGGCCGGATATGTAATCTTGTCGATTGCCTCCACCATTGACTTAGAATCAAGATATTTCTCGAAACTGAACACGACTTCAGCTGTTTTCGAAAAAAGTACCACTCCTACATGCGTACCATCTTTTGCGATGTTGAAGGATTGAACGAAGTTTCTGAGGAATCTCAGGCACTTCTTGAAATTTTCCTTCCCAATACTTCCAGAGCCGTCCAACAGGAAAGCTATATCGACTTTAGCTTGGCACTCTTAGCAAAAAAAAAAAACATGCGAAATTAGGTTACGATGTGGCTTGAAATTGTACAGAATAATATCAAATTATATTTACTAAACGATTGACGCAGTTTACCTCGAATTCCTTCTCCAAATTTGACGTTTTAACCGTTACGTAGGGTAACCACTATGCGTAATGTCTCATGTCACAAATCTGCTACGTTTGAAATTGATTTCGATTCTCGAGGTTACAGTTTAACTTTTTTCCCTTGTGATCATTGGTAAATGACGCACTTACTTGTTCCTGAAGCTGGAGGTTGTAGAGGACCCGTCACAGCGCCTGATGATGCTGTAAGAACAATAATTTAGGAGTCCATGTGACATCTCCTCAAAATTCGCCACCTATCATTAATTGAAGTTACATTTCGACAATAGAAGAGTTAGTACTCCCGTCTATCTATCGCGATATGGAATCGACATTCATGTTGACTGTACTATATTTAATCTTACATGGTCCCTAAATTATTCCACTAGCGGTTAAGGGATGAAACCAATGTTTTTAGCGCGTAAAGTTGTGATCCAAGTAAATTTCTGATCAGCCTAATGAACAACAAACAAACTCCAGACGCAATCGAATATATGCAATCAGTATATGGATATCTACATACCTACTTACTTACTTTATTGAGACTCCCTTCAACAGGGCTTTTCAGTCATAATGTTAACTATAATCTTACACTAGAGAGAGGGGAAGAGGTGTTTCTAATGCCAAGTCAGGGCCCTAAACTTAGCACGAAAAAACTTACTGAGGTTACCAATAACGACTGAGTCACCGAAAAACGTCGAAGGCTTACCCTTACGACAACTGGCCACGACGGGACTTACTAAAGACCCCAGCGCATTGAAGCCTGCTTTAAACATGAACTGTGAATCTGGGTCGGTAGCTATCGCCTGAAGTTGTCCAAGGTCGTAATCTGTACCCATTCCTATACTAATACAAGTGACTCCTGAGCCCTTAAGCATCTGGGCAGAAGAACCAACGTCATCTGTTGACCTGCTGGCAGTTAAGACACAAGCAATGTTGGGAACACCAGACCTTGCACTTGCAGCGAAGAGAGCGTCTTTAGCTAACAGGAGGGCTTTTCCAGTCATTGTTCCTCCACCTAGATACTGGATTCTATCGATTGCTGCGATCACTTCTGATTGGGAGTAATACTGGTCGAGTCCCAACACAATCTACAAAGATTCAGATGAGGAAAAAGTGACAACCTCTTTTAGCAACCAGTGACTTCAGGCTTGGCTAAATCTGTACACTGTTAAGGCAACGTAGATTAGTTATTGGACAAAAATTTACGTGAGAGCCTTTCAAAAGTAGAGCTGATCATAAAGTGACACAAACATTCGAAAAGTTTGACTTGATCTGGAGTGTCATGTAAGTTCAACATAAAATTTTACATGTTGTCCAAGATTTATGCATTGGCTCGCATTGTTTCAGAAGACTTTACTCCGTTTTAGTTGCGGTGACTTTTTCTGACCTCTTTTAATCTAATTGGGTACACGACTTAATACAAATAAATTTCATATCAAAATAAATTCGAGACAATAAACGTGTCAATTAAATTAATATAAGACATTGATGAGGGATCCAACCTTTGCTTCATCGCTATAAGCAGTGACGCCGATGTGAGTTCCTTCTTTGGAGATATCAAAGCTTCCGGCAAGATCTTTGACAAATTTCAAGACCTTTGCAAACGTTCCTTGTCCGTTCCTTTCTATGCTTGAAGAACATTCGATGATGAATCCAAGGTTTAGCTTTGTCTGAACCCCTAACCAAAAGAGGAAAATCTGTATGATTTTCTGTAATCTGTTGGATTACAGCGTTTCACAGCTTACTATGTAGGTGAGAGGCATTGCATGCTGAGTTTCACAAATTTAGACGGCGGTTTGGTAAATTTCTGATCTTTTGTAAGTTGTAAACTACAGGCATGTGTCAGATGATTCAAGATGCACATCTTTTTTGAAATCCGATGCCGTTGTGTTCTAGAGTAGCTGATGGAAAGAGATGGTGATCTTTGTCGGATATCTCCGCTTTCAGTTGGGAAGAGCTTAGAGGAACTCCTCGCATCCGAATGAATTTATTCAAATGAAATGGACAGTCTGTTTGCAGAGCTTGAAAAACTGTACTGGTTGCACATTAGACTGCAATTTGTTGCTCTCTTTTCTCTTTTCGTTTACAAAAAAGCGAATAGTAATGGAAACCGTGACTTTTAAATAATTCCAAGTAAATTCCTTTTGAGTAGAGTGCTACGTTAAGCTTTGGACTTTTAAGATGATAGGCCTCTTCAAATGACAAGGAAGTCGGGTTACGCAACAATTTTTGGAGGTATGACGCTCTCGCTACTGCGCCGTGAGATAGGTTATATGCCTGTTCTTGGAAAGGAGAGACTTTTCTCTTTATTCCTCTTCGTTCGCAAATTGATCCGTTATACCGGAAGTACGTCGATCGTAAGTAATATGAAATTAATGAGTTTAGCGATCTGAGCAGGTTTCAGCAGCGTATGGTCCGCTAGGATTAAATCGTTTCTGTGGCGTAGCTTGTTAAGTTGGCTCGTGAAGTAGGAAAGTTGATGAGCATGGAATCCACGTCTTAGCACAGTATGATCTCGTTGTCGAGCATTATCTTTATACTGAGGGTGAATAGGAAGAGTATCAATTGGTTACCTTCCAATTTAACCATCGAATCCGTGTTACCTGTTAAGGAACACTAGCTGTTGGCTTGGTGGGTGGTGAAGTCACATGCGAAGGTGTTAATGTAGGTATGACGCAATAGGTCTTGAGGGTAGATCGGCGCGTGGATCCTCGGTGACCTGTATCGAGTTCTGGTCTTGTTGTAAATGACCCCTTTGGCTCAAGGTTAGCAACGTTCCAGGCAATTAGCGGATCAGCCGATATTTGATTGTTCGTTTTATTGCATTCTCCTGACTCTGGGAACCACTGGCTCTGGAATGATAACAAATTTATTGATCTTGATCCTCACTGAAATACACGCCGAGTAGAAGAGGATTCGCAGAAGACTTAACTACATCAGCACGGACAGTTGGAATGAAAATTCCAGAAACGTGAAAGAGCACGATAAAACACCATACAACAGGAGAGCCGTATTAGAGCGAACCGCCCGAGCAACTCAGCAAAACACCAAAGATCATAACGCACCAATCACAACCATCGAAAACCAACCAGTCACAACGAAAAGTTATGGTCTATGAGGTGACGCGCAATCAGTCGACCTGAAACTATCACCTAAAACGTCGCAACGTTTTATCACAAACGATTGAAATCGTCAGGCAAACCATAAAATCTCATATTTTATGTATTTAAACGCAATAAACTTCCACAACCCTTTTTCAACCACATGTGCTTCGTGACTTCGTTTCATTCAACGCTATTTCGTTACGGTGGGTTTGAAAGCAATTTAAACCATTTGTTCTTTCGAGAAAGTCAACGCAGCAAACGGTGCATGGAGCACAGAGAGTAAATGTGTGCGGAGCTTAAGTATTTGAGCGTGCCTGAACGAGTGTCGATTGTTCTTCGATCGCAACGGACCGCCGTAAGAAAATTGACTGATTTCACTACTCACGCACTTCTTTTAACCTTTTTCTTAGTTCATTTTACAACTGCCAGGCACAAAGGCTGACTTTTCAGCGTTTCACATGAATCGGTCTCTCTTTGGACTAATTTACCTTATTTACCAATTGTAAATCATCAGCGACTTATGCATAATTACTTTTAATTATAACCGACTCGATGACAAGAAATAACTTTCAGTCGAGAGGATTCCTGCTTTTAAGTACAATTGATAGCAAGAGATTAAGCTAGTAAGTAAGGTCCAGTATTGATATCTGATTTCTTTGTTATTGTTTAAACATGTCTGAAGTAATGATCACATCACACTAGAATGTAACTAGTGTGTCTGTTGTCCCCTTTTGTATCGTTTACAATTGTTCTTGGCATTATTTATCTGTTCTGAAGTAAGAGCTACATCATAAATTTGGACACAAGCAATGCGCCCTCGATAATTCCTTTTATCTCCGACTCGAGCTCCCATTCGGATCGGATAGTTGGTAGCCAGTCTAATATGGCCTATGTGCTTAAAATCTTCAAACTTTCCATTAATCCACAGGCCTGCAACTCCCGTTGTTTGATCATATGTTGCGCCAACGAAATTCCATCGATTTGGTGCAATCTTAGTGCTTTTTAATGGTTGAATTGATCTATGATTTTCTCTTTGCACAAAGTGCGCAAATAGCTTTCTCGGTTGTGCTAACCACAGATTTGTTCCCCACCCGTCCCCCCTAAAGTTGAAGATTGGTCCAGCCTTTTCAGGATATATCCAGGCCAGTATTGATAAAGAATCCTTTGTATCTAGTTTACCATTGTTTGGAAACTCAATAAAGCTGTCTGGTGTTCCAAGAAATGACAGAGAGCCACCTTCCTTCTTATAAGGCCCTAGAGCAGTTGTGACGTAACTTTTTACGCCAGCGAGGTTTCCACCAATCACATCTCTTGCCTCGTACCGTTCGTTTAATGGGAACAGCGCTACTGGTCGGACGTTAGCTAACAGAAACAAAAAAGATAATAAAACAATCAAATTGTTTACGGTAATTTTTTCTTCTGGGCCACAGTCAACTGTTTATTACCATGTGTCACATGCGGTGAGAAATTATCAATAGAAATATCAGTGGAAACTGGCTGAAACATTGTAATGGAATGATTGTTCCCAACTTGTTGCAAAAACCCCGCTAACTTACACCCCAACACCCAAATATTGCCAACTACAATTATGAAACAGTTGGTAGAGCACTGCATCAGTTTCGCACAAGTCATGGGTTCAACTTCCGTACGAGCCTGAATTTCTTTCAGTCTTGAGTTACACTACTGCCTAAGTGGTGGTCATAACTGCGATGATCACTCCCATTGTCACCTATGAGTGTACTTCAGACCTTTCACGAGCACGGGTTTTATCCATCTTTACAACCCAGGAGGGTTGATCATCTTTTTTTTCTTTTTTACAATTGAGACTGAATTAGCTTAGTTGTTTACCTCTGCATATTTCCCCCCTTATTTCCTTTATCGTCTTGCCAAGCTTTGTGACGTCACCAGGTAGCACGTGACCAGCATCCGGGTCTGTGGCTATGTCTTCAAGTTCTTTTTTATCATACCTATTTCCTATTCCAATGCATAAAACATTAACTCCAGAGTCTCTGAGCGCCTTTGAAGGCGCAAGTACATCTTCAGTTGATCTTCCTGATGTTAATACGATCAAAATGTGCGCCACGTTTGGTCTTGAAGAGAGATCGAACAGTTGGCTCTTCACAAGTTTGAGTCCAGCGCCAATGTTGGTGCTTGCACCTGTATACTTTACACTATCTATGGCATTTTCCACGCTCTCTAGATCGAGATGTGTCTTAAAATTTAGAACAACTTGAGAGTTTGTAGAGAACACGACAAAACCAATGTGGGTCTGCAGAGGGTTGATAACAAACATGCTGGAAATGGCTTTGGCGATGGTCAAAGCTGTTTTGAAGTGTCTTTGTCCTTTCTCGTTTTCATTTCCGGATGCGTCGATGAGAAAAGCCAGGTCAACTTTGTCCCTGCATACCCCAGAACCTGTTGACATAAAATGTTGACAAGTGGGTTAAATCAACGAAACGCTTTTACCTAAACTGTTGAGTTACCTTATCTGGCATGAGAGGAAAAGAGGTTAAGAATGTCCGTAAATCAAGTGAGTTCGGGAATAATGAAGTGCTGAATTCATTGTCATAAGCTACGGACTTGAAATGAAACTATATCGTCTTAAGAGTACATAGGTGAATTGGTCACCTTACCAGCTCATACCTCTCTTGATTGGTTGATCTCTTCATTATTCTTAAATGATAATTAATTTGATAAAAGCTTACCAAGAATGCTGCCGGAAATGACGTCATTCTTAACAAGATCATCTTCCGTACCCCACACATCTGTGATGTCGACCGGGTCGCCTTGTTTCGGCGTAAGAACAAGTTTCCCGATCTTTACCGGCTTCTTTCCACTTAAGAAAACTTGGCTCCTCGAGCTGGAGCTTCCACCTTTAATTGTAATTACTCTTGAAGAACTTCCACCCGAACTAGAACTGCTGCTTCCGCCTTTAATTGATATCGAGGAGCTTCCACCGGAAATAGAATTGCTTCCTCCAGAGCTCGAGGAGCTGCCACTTGAACTCGAACCACTGCTTCCTCCTTTAATTGATATCGAGGAACTTCCACCAGATATAGATTTGCTTCCTCCAGAGCTCGAGGAGCTACCGCCTGAACTAGAACCGCTGCTTCCACCTTTGATCGACATCGAGGAGCTACCACCAGATATAGCATTGCTTCCCCCAGAGTTCGAGGAGCTCCCACCTGAAGTAGAACCGCTGCTTCCACCCTTGATTGACATCGAGGAGCCTCCACCGGAAATAGAATTGCTTCCTGCAGAGATCGAGGTGCTACCACTGGAGTTCGAACCACTGCTTCCACCTTTGATTGATATTAAAGAGCCCCCTCTTGAATTAGAACTGCTGCTTGCCGAGCTCGAGGAACCAACACTACCTCCAACAGAACTGCTTCCTCCACCTTGGATTACAGTGGAACCTACCAAGCTCGATCCGCCGTTCACTGCACTCGATCCAGTACTGCCCGCACCTACTGTTTCCATAAAGAATCACTTTCTTTCTCGATTAGTTCGTCTAACAACGTCTGTTAGTCTCGGTATAAACAGTAATGAGGTCATCGTTGATGGATGAAATACAGCTCGATGAGTCGACCGGTTTTCGACACAAAACCAATCGCGGTGTTATGATTACGAATAGGGTTAAGAGTTAAGCTTAATCTATATTTTACACTTGGCACTGTAAGTACTGTACTGTGATTAGAAATCGCCGTATTGGGATAACAATGTAAGATGTTTACAACAAGGTCAAGTTGTACAAATGCAGATTTAATTATCATCAGTCTTATGGAGCTAAACCTAAAATTAAAACTGTATCTCCAGACAGTAAATGGTAAAGCGTGAACGGTACAGTTTTTTTTTTCAGTGTCGTAAAACGTGAGGTTGCTGAAAAATTATCGTTCATAAAATCCTTCAAAATGTCATGTAAAACATAATATGTTAAATCAAAAATATGTTTCATGCAATAATATCTAATTGTAATACTACCTGCTTTATGTGTAGCATACACGCTAGCACGACCTCATAAAAAAAATTTCAAAACCGTATTGCAAGCAATATGAAACTGTTTAAAACAAAGTAATGGAAATACAGTAACTGTGCATTAAATGTCTGGCACCTGTAAGGTACTTCATATGAAATTTCTAACTAAAAAACAAAATAGAAAATTTACCTTTCGAAGGAATTTGTGATAAGGATCCTCCTGCCCCTATGGGAGAACACATTAATGAACTTAACACAACATGTCTTACAGTGAGTGTGCGCAGTGAGTATCTAAAAGCCCTGTCTTGAAATCCGATCATTGAGTTCGCATGTTACTGAAAGGTGCTGTGAGTAGAAATCCTGGAATCGACGTGGAAGTCGTCATTACAACTACTGTAGGACTATTAGACTAACCATCACACGCCATCTTTTTAATTTTCGGGAGTATCTGATCAAGATCATCAAAACCGCCTGTTAAAACATGTTTAGAGTCTGGGTCGGTTGCCATTTCATCCAACTGGTCCTTCTTGTATTGTGTACCAACTCCAAAACAAAAGATCGTCACTCCCATGTCACGGAGCTTCTTTGAGGGATCCTCGATAGAGTCCTGTTGGTAAAATTTGACAAAATTATTAATCTGTGCCATGGTTCAAATCAGTGAACACGAAAACAAAGAGAACGAAGAAAACAAAGAGAGAAAAAAAAGAGATGGGAAAAGAATAGGACTAAGAAGTACAGATTCTGACAGTAAGGCTTGACTTTTGTGAAGGGGTCAGATTATTCTCAATATTGTGAAAAATGTATAAAATATTTCTTTCTCAAGAAGGAATTTTACACGAGGACAACTCAAACAGCTTCAATGACAGGATGGGTTATTGGGAAGCGCCTTACCAACTGACTTACATCAAACTAGGAGGCATTGTTTTCAAGACGCTAACTTGTGCTTTTTTGGGGGTGCTGCGAGTTCAGAAACATAATTATTTTAAAGAAATTGTTATTATAAAAAATTTTGACCTGAGATGCTCCATCAGTCATAACAATAAGGATGTCCCTGACTCCTTGCCTGGCACTGTTTTCAAACAGTCCCGTGCGCACCAGATCGAGGCCTATTCCAGTGTAAGTACTTTTGGCCGGATATGGAATCTTGTCGATTGCCTCCACCATTGACTTTGAATCAAGATATTTCTCGAAATTGAACATGACCTCAGCTGTTTTCGAAAAAAGTACCACTCCTACATGAGTGCCATCTTTGGCAATGTTGAAGGATAGAACGAAGTTTTTGAGGAATCCCAGGCACTTTTTAAAATTCCCAGGTTGTTGGAAATCAATACTTCCAGAGCCGTCCAACAGGAACGCTATGTCTACTTTAGCCTGGCACTCTTGTGGAAGAAAACAGAAAATTCAAAAGGCTTATAGGCTATTTTGAGTAAATGTGGGGATTTACTAGTGAGAGAAAATCTGCCTGAGGCCTCGGCTTTTGCCATTAATTGCAGATCTGCTCGACATGCGGCAGTATTGAGCAGACCAATAGTCTGAGGTGGTCATCTACATGTTTAACGTCACGCGGTAGGCTCTTCACTAATGACAAAGAAGGAAAAGCATCATTGAGTGATGATATTTATGAAAAGATGAGATTCACTGAAATTAACGGAGGCCGGGGATCTATTGAAACCAATAATATATCATGTTATACCATACAATATTCAACCTGACACCATAGTTTGTGGCAGAAGAAAACGAAACTTACGGGTGTAGAATGGATTTTGGAGCTAGATACCGTAGGTTGTAGTAATTGATTCACTTACTTGTTTCCACAGCAGGAGGCGGACTGCCCTTGATAATGCTTTGGGGTGCTGTAGAAAAGTAGTTTGTCAATATCGTCAGTAAAAAGGGGTAGAGCTCTTGGTATAAAGGGTGCAAAGGTGCATTGTCCGACTTGATAGTTCCATGGCACATGGACTGTACACAAAATTTTCCACTAAGCAGGATTTCTCAATTCAGTCAAGAAATTTTCTTCAGGATCAGATTAAACCAATAAGATAATTTATGAAAATCCCATTTTATGATTGAGACAAAATGGTTGTCGCGATAGTTAAGTATGACTTAAGCAACAATGTGCATTCTTTTCATTGGCCGCCTGACCACAGTTCTCGTTTTAAGTGTCAGTCGACGTTCGTGGCATTTCTTCCATAATGTCTGTCGAATGTTGTAACTCGATGATTTTTCGGTGGAGATCTGGAAACATCATTTTATCGTTTAGAAGAAGACTTGTCAAAGCTGTGGCAACACCGTTTTCCTATTCAATGGTAGAAGTCGCTCGTAAACCAAATACGCCAAAGTAGTTTTCGATTTGTAATGGTGCTAAAACTTACGTGGTAATTGAATTGTTCCACCAGCAGCTACGGGATAAAATAAATTGTCCGGTTTTAGAAAGAATAAAATTAAAAGTTATCATTTCTTCTAAAAACGATAAAAACTAACGATGAACTCTCGTATGTAAAAAAAATATAATTTAAAAAGCTGGATCACCAAAACATAGAGTAGAATGAACAAACACAAAACCTTTTGAAATGTTTTATAAAAGAAAAGATTTTGGGTAAATCAAGGGGAAAAAAGTGTTTCAAAATTAAATTTATCAGCTTAAAAAACTTCGGTTTAAGCCAAAAGGCTCAAATCAGTGTAGGCGTATAAGAAATCTTGCAGACCAGCACTTCAGGAAGGTCACAAATGATACTGGAAAGAAAAAGTGTTTCAATGGACACTGAGGGTTGATTAGGATCAAAAGCTCATTTCAATTCTTATAAAAAATTATTACCACAAAGGAAGCTAAGAAAATAGAATACTTACCCTTACACCCAGTGTCTACGATAGAGTCTACCAGGGACCACAGCGAGTTAAATTCTGCTTTAAACATGTGCTGTGAGTCTGGGTCGGTAGCTATCTCTCGTAGCTGTTCAAGATCATAGTCTGTACCCATTCCTATACTAATAACAGTGACACCTGACTCTCTCAGCTTCTGAGCGGGAGCTCCAATGTTATCTTTTGACTTCCCGTCTGTTAACACACAAGCTATGTTGGGGACCCCGGACCGTGCACTAGCAGCAAATAAAGCCTCTTTGGCTTTCAAGAGAGCTTTTCCAGTATTTGTCCCTCCGTTTGGATACTGGATCCCTTCAATTGCTGCAATCACCTCAGATTGGTTGTAATGCTGGTCGAATCCCGACACAACCTGCAAACGTTGCGAATAAAAAGTCAAGTCTGTCATTTGTAATTGGTATTTTGATATTTAGACCACGATCAAACTATTTTCCATCTCAAACTACGCTTCCTTCTTGGTGATTCACCTTAGTGTTTTCTTTCTTAGCAAATTATGATTTCAAGATAATTTGTTTGAATCATCTGAGTTTATAATGTCATTGGTTTCTGTATATAAAGCGTTTATGAAGCTGACGTTTCGAGCACTGGCCATTCGTCGGAGAAAACGTTTTATTCGATTCTCGAGACCTAGGGGGCCTTGTACTAAGTACATTGGACTCTTCTCCAGTTATTTTGTTATGTTCTTTAGTAAAACTTCCCATTTTCTCGGGGTTTCCCTTGACCCTGGGGTATAGATCCTTACCGATAAATCATGAGGTAAATCCAGATGGGATAGGTAGGGATACTAGGATCTAATGAGGCAGAGATCGACTGTTATGTAGAACAGCGGGTGAGTGGCAATAACGGGATATTGAGCTTCAGGGTAAATTAACTCGTTTTCATATATTGAAAGCCAAGTCTTCATAACATCTTGACCAGGGAAATAGAGCACTATGGGTAGTGAGTCAAAAACTTAAGACAACTCTTAAAACTGACGAGCTAAATGAGGGGTACCAACAAGAGATCCAACCTTTGGTTCATCGCTGTATACAATGACACCAACATGTGTTCCTTCCTTGGAGACATCAAAACTTCGGGTAAGATCTTTGACAAAGCTCAAGACTTTTTTAAACGTCCCTGGTCCATTTTTTTCTATACTCCCTGATCCATCGATAATAAATCCGAGGTCAGCCTTGGCTTTACATTCTACGACAAAAAAAGAGGAATGGAACTATGGTGTTCGCCTTCCAAATGTGTTATTGATGCTGGTGGATGCAGATTTCCTTTACCAATCAACAAATTACATGATTTTCTCATTTTAAATTTAATCCATTTTGTAAATTAGCTACGTATGCATTTCCAATTTGATTCAAGGTACGATGGAATCTAGTGTTCCATAGCTATGTCTAGTTTTTGTTAACCATTGCTTCCTGGTTGGTTCGGAGACCTTTGTGTTAGACCGATCCAATATATTTCACTTTAAAAATCCTTTATTTTGATTATACACTCACAGGAAAACCCTTGATATTAGAAAGAAACGTTAAGAAAACGAATCCATTTTACTCACTTGGAGCACTAGGGGGAGGCTTGCCACTAATTTGTCCAAGTGTGGTACCATTCGACGGTATTGTGCCGTTGGGTCCGCTAGGTCCAACCCCACTAGGGATAACACTGCCGCACCCTCCTGTAGTATTCCCGTAAGGGTGACAAGGGTTCCCACCAGCAGTCGCGTTAGTAATGTTAGGATATCCTTCAGTAAGCTTCCCTTCAATCACACACCCAGCTCCCATGTCAATACAGCCTCCAGGAGCCATTCCTTGTGCTGGTGCCGGGCAGGGTGCCCCTCCAATCTGTATACACCCACTGTCAATGGTTATGCCATGACTTCCACACGGAGCTCCTCCCATGGGAACTCCCCCTCCACAAGTAGGGTTTCCCATGGGCATACCTTGAGGTGGACAGGGATTTCCTCCTCCTCCCATGCTGGCACACCCTACAACCGGGGAAGGTTTGCAGGGAATAGCACCTACCGTACCACACCCAGCTGGTGCGGTCTGGTTCACTTTTGCTGGCGCTCCAGTCCCTTAAGTAACAATATCATTACTCAGTTTTTTGTCATGGTTAGCGACGCATATAAGGATAAGCTTCACTGCGATAGATCTTGGGCGTGGGGTTTCCAATCCGTCATATTTGATAAATACAATAAACAATGGTTTACTTTCACATGGGGTTAACATTCGAAGCTGATTTTAAAAGATCTTATTAGTTCAAGCATTTTCAAACTGCTTTCATCGTATAAGATTTTTACGATAATCGATCAATAATGGTTTTGTGACTCACCATTCAGCGTGCTATTAGTTCCAGTGACTGCAAGAAAAGCAAACATTATTGGTATATCAAGAGGAAAGGGAATTTTGGAGCCTCGTGAAAATATATGAAATACAGTAAAAAAAAAAACGAGCATTGCAAAAAGAACTGTGTTTGTAGCTGTTTTAGTTCCCCTTTGAATTTGGTGGTCTACCAGTGGTTGAACATTCTCATTCAAGAAATTGTGAGAGACATTGCACGGCCTCTTATATGAAATTGAGGTTTTAGAGTCTACTTCCAGTTGTCTTTTTTTTCGGAAAAGTTTGATAAACGTTCGGGTTTAGTTTTGAAAAATGAAAGGATAATAGCGCATTGATGTCGAAGGAGCAGTCCGTCGGTTCACGGGAGAAGCTGACTTTTATGTGTCAGCTTTTATTGTCTGCGGATGAAACTGGACAGATAGTTGTGCTTATCATAGACTTTAGTTTAAGAGCGCAGCTTTATGCTTTTTGTGTGTAAGGCTTACGTTATGTTTGTGCGTTACCTATTCTCTGTGGATAGAATGGATCTAATGGCAGATGAGTTGTTATTGGTTGGTGCCTCGTGTGAGCAAAGTAATGGAAATGTTTATTGACACTAGCAATCGCAATTCTTATAACCCTACCATTGCAACCTGGAATTGGAATTGGACATCCCCAGCCACAGATTTGGCCAGCACTAGCACTGCCAGGTGGCGGCATGCTGCATGTAGTATTTGTAGATGACGATGAAGAATTATTTGCACAGCGGTTGGGACATACTGTATTTGCATTATTTACACAGGGGTTACGACAGGCTGTACTTGTGCCATTAGTAGATCCATTGTTGTTGTCCATTATCTTTGGTGGTTTTACCAATGGTTGGTCGTCTTCATCTAAGAAACTGTGACAGATATGACATAGAGTCTTATATGTGAGCCGACTAAAAATGTTACTTGAAGAAAAGTTCGGTCCTTGAATGCTAAAAAAGTCAAATACATGAAGAGAATGTGAAGCGTTGCCAATGGTCTAGAAGTTGGAGCGTAGCTGTGAGGTTCGAGTTCCAGCTCTTGCAGCTGGGTACTGCATTTTTTATCAAAGTGAGGATCCCAATCATGAAATACAAAGATGACGGTAACGTCTTTTCATGCTGTACTTTATGGTACAGTCGAACTCTCCATTATCCGAACTCGTTGGGACAAGACGAAACAATTCGAATAATCAAGAATTAGCGTCTTCTCCTTAGATTATGGCAGATGACAAAATAAAGATTTTAGGAAGTTCAAATCTAGTCAACTAGTCAATGTTTGATAAGAAAGATATTTAATCAGGGGGACCACGTTACCGAGGTACTTTTCAAAAGTCCGTGCAATAGTTACAATTAATCTCAGTTTAGTGCTGTCCATTTATCCTCAACTAATTGTTCTTAGAGCCTACCTATACACTTCGTTGCTCCATGGACCTCCTTCGCCATCACCTGGTAAGAACAATCAAAAGTTGAAGTAGCTATAGAAGAGCCTTTGATTTATTCTATAAAGCAAAACTGGAATCAACATTATTCCAAGTGGGAATTGGCATGAAGACGAATCTGTACCATATGATGTCATCGTGACGCCTCAAAAAGTACAACGTGGTTACCTGCGCATTCTGTGCTCTGTCCATACTTTCTGTATGTGTTCTCTGCATTTTTTCCTCCAAAACACTGCCCACCATTTTGAAGACCAAATATCTTTAAGTCTTGTTCATCTGCTACCTCCGCACATTTCATCAGGGCATTCACTCTTGTCTTGTAAGGTTGTTTGAGCCGGGAACTCCTTCCTTCTAAACTGTCCATTGCACGAATTTTAGTAGAATCTGCCCAACAACCGATGCTCTTAAAAACTGCATCAAAAATGACATATGCATGTTTCAATATTTTCCGTTTTGTTTGATTCTTTATTGCCATTATTATTCAAAAGCTATCAAAAGGTTCATGAATTTCCCCCAATATCTTCACTTTTGACTCTGTCGCTTAGGTTGGGCAGACAACATTCTCGTTCAAAATATTTGTATATTTTGAGTAGAACTTTCCTTTATAAGAAAATGATTAAATAAAAAGGAATATGCACAAAATCCTTACATCGTCCTTTGATTTCAAACTTTTCTGTTCTATCAGGAGGAGTTGGTTTGGCTTTGGGCTTTTTAGCGTCATTACTTGGTTTTTCTTTTGATCCCGAGATCATCAAGTAAGCGGCTGAGTTTCCCATAGAGGCAGCTTTACCTGGGTTCACTTGGGAGGGAAACGAAATCTGCTGTTGCTGATATTGATCATTGGCATACACGTTCGATTGAGATGTGGAATACGACAACTGTTGTGCCTGAGCGTTGGTTGGTAAGGAGCTTCCTGGTAACGAAGAAGGGTATGGTGATGGGTAGGATGCAGGGGACGGATATGATGGAGGAGGGTAGTAGTACGGCGGAGGAGCAGGATATGAGGACAGTGGGGGGTAAGAGAAGGAAGGCGGGGAAGGATATGCCGAGGGATATATGGAAGGTGGGGAGGGGGCAAATGATGGGGCATATGCAGCATATTGGTTTGAAAATGGATACGAAGGTCCTTGAGAGCGACGACCAGCTCGAGCTTTTTTCAGGTCTCTTGTGTTAGGAATGTTCCACCATGGGAGATCTGAGTAGAAAAAAGGAAAGTGATAAACCTCAAGAGATCTGATAAGGCAGTGAGTAAGATTTCCTCGACTTTGATATATTTTATACAGGCTAGCTCAAGTATTTTCATCAAGAACATTAATGAAAAAACAGTAAAAAAAACTCTTCCATACAATAATAGTCCATTTTACAGTTGCATGCTTGGTTGCCAAGCCTTTGAACAAGAGTGAGGCTAAGGTTGACTTTGTTGTGATACAGACGTTGCCGCTTTTCAAATGTACCGTTAAATTACTTTGTTATCATGCTAACTAAATACTAGTCTCTATAACGACAAGGTCACCTTCAGCCTCACTCCAAATCAAAGGCTTGGCAACCAAGCGTAGAACTGTAAAATGGCCTATTGACTGATGAATCGCAACAGCCTGGCCCCAACAGTACAAAGAAGAGTAACTTAAGACGCAGAAATATCCATACAGAAAAATGGACTTGGACAATTCGGTCAAACAATTGAGATTGAGACGAATTACATGATTTTTCCACTTCTTACCCAAATTTGTTACTGCTCACTTAATTTGAAGACTAGTCTTCGATTCAGACCAAAAAAATCATTTAAAACACCGCGTCTAAGCCTCTTGAACTTAAAGATTTTTACTTAAGGATCTTTACCTGATCTTTTACCGGAAAGAAACTTCTTGATGGGCGAGTGTCGATGTTTTGTTGACTTTCCAGAAGTTGAGCCAGCCACGAATGCAAAAACCAAGCTCATCAGAGGCAGTAATATATCCATTATTTCATCCTTCGGTGTCACTGAACCTACTTATAGAGACAATACACTCGAAGGTTAATCAACTTTCACTGGAGGGGCAACTTTGATACTTGTTTCGAAAAGGCCCCTCTTAATTGTGCGCCAGCCGTTTGTGACGCTACACGCCAAGAAAAGACGAACCTATTTGCGCTTCCTGGGGAGCGCGTTTTTAAGGATTTACTTGAACTTTATGTACATATTATTTTCACATCCAAAACTGGCTCGTTTAACAAGACATACACATTGACAAAGTTTCCTTCTTTCTATTATCTTTAGCCTGGTGAAAACACTCCTAAACAACCATGTTATATCGATGTGGTTAAAAGTGTTGCATCATTTTCGGGCCTTGTCAGATACAAGAAACATTCGTTGTATAAACGATTAACATAGGTATATTTAAAGAGGTTTATAGTCGTTAAAAGGACAAGAGAGCAAAATATAACAACTTCAGTTTTTTCACTTGACCTGTAACCATAACATCATGTTACACCACCTGCATCCAGAGATTTGTTACAAGGACTCCCCTTGGTGAGAGCTTCATCTTATGAAAGGTGCTGAAGATTTAGATATAAAATTAGCGTTTGTCACCTTGAATTATCGTAGATTGCCATTTTTTGCTTACCTCTCCGTTTTTGGTTCAGATGTCTTCCTCTGACTTTGACTGAGCGTATGGAAGTGACTACACATCTGAAAAAGCGAGGCAAAATTTCTTCAATGACCTCATACCTTCCGCGTTCGAAAACCTAAAAAAAAGATTGCCAAGTCTATGAAAATAATCTCTATAGTCTTAAGGGAGGAATATAATTCACACCGGCACACTTACTCTTGCCAAAAGTCCTTGGTCTTTACAATTTGATACTCATACAACTCTAGCGCTCTATTTCATGCCAACTTACCTGTTAAATTCACCAAAACCGAGTTAAATTGAACGAGAATCTTTGAAGTGTTCCTCGTATGTTACCTGTTTTTCTAACTGGTCTTGCTGGCGAAAAGGTCAAGTACCATTTTAATCCTGACTAATGGAAACTAATTAAAGAGGATATGTCGAACACAATATTGTCAACTTGGTAAAGTATCGTTAAATAATCCTTGGGAAAAACAACGCTGTCTTAAGGATTTGACATATTCAAAGTCGACATCAGATCTAAAAAGAAGGGAAGAATAAGCTAAGCGTCCGTTCTTAAAAATTGAAAGTCGCCCTAAGGGATCTGGTTCCTAGTCTACAGAACAGTATTTCAGCTATGCTGTTTACCGCTGATTATAATATGCATTACATAACTGGCTTCCATGGAACTCATGGAAATCCCAAATTCTGAAGACAGAATGAGATGCCAAGAAGGACTTGTATATAGGTATGGAAATACCAGCATTAACAGGTACTAATTTAAGTGCCTCAAGTTGTTAGTGATTGCATAATTGAGACCTCATTCGCAGGCAATCTTCGACATGTTTTGTACAATACGGGAGATTCCTCAGCGGCTGATAATTCGATCGAATATAACGCTGATAAGTTTTTGTTTTATTTTATTCCCCAAGTAAGCTAAGAGGTTAAAATTTTAAAGCTAATTAGGGTGTACTTTTGCTTCTCATGTCCAACTGTAGTCTGAAAATGAGATTTTTGGCAACTGAAATTAGGTGTGACATAACTTGTTCGGCAGCGAAGCATGCAGTTTACCTACGAGGGCCAATCTTTATTTAAGGTATATGTATATGAAGAATTCTCACTGATATACCGCACACGCCAGTAAGTTATTTTTCTGGTTGGTTCTTTTTTGTGAGATTGGTCAAAAACGGCTTGGTTTGGCGCAAATAATAAAGAACTTGATGAAATCTGTGGATGTACGCATTGTCAGGTCACGCAATGATGCAGTACGTAACGTTTCTCACGCAATTTATGGCGATGAACTTTCGAAGGAAAAATACCAGTATCAAATGCTTCAAATTTCATGCTAGCTTGTGGCACTGACAGAAGACAGTCGCGAATTTTTTATGTCAAATAGAAGGCGTTTCGCGATCGTGGGCAATTTGAATACAACTCTAGGAACACCGCTCTATCTTAGCAACTCATCGAATAAAACGCTCGTGCTTTAAAAAAGAAATTTCATTTCTCTGTGATGTAGATCAGTGTTTCTGTTAACTAAACACAAACTATGCGGTTGTTCTGTTTGTTTTGTAACTGTATTCAGACCTTCTGCGGCGCAATGAAAAAAGATTACGTAAGATTATGTGGTGAAAGAAACTTATATTGTGTTAGGGTGATGCAAATTATCCAAAATTCAGAGCAATCTAAAGTGAAATAAAATCACTCTTATTTTAAAACGAAATATTGAATTTTGTTCCATTATGGTTATTAAAAATACTCAGTGTATGAAGAATGGAGATGGAGACTGAATTTCATTTTGTAGTAAAATTCATTGATATGTAGATGACATACAAAACATTATATAGGCATTTTTAAATACAAATACTTTACTTTGTATGAAAATTTGACATCAACCATTATTTTACTTCACTCTCTTGTAAGATATTATCAATGCTTGCATAATATTCATATTTACATGCAGCCATGTAACATCCTCTTCATCTTTAAAATAATTAGATAACTTTTATACACAATATTTATATGACTAGTATGTAATTTCTCCTTACAATATCCTGCCCGAATCAAATCAGTTAAAGGAAATGATGATCAATTAAAGAAGTTTTTGATTGTTAAATAAATTCTCCTTGTCAACAGGTAAGAAAATGTATAGAGAATACTATGGAGAATAATTGTATGCTGATGTTAGGGTGTAAAAAGTCAACCTCCTGAAGTTGACTTGTGTTCAGAGTGGGTAGCATTAACTTTTGTCCTTATATGATCATTCACCAACTTTGAATTTGTTGTGTTATGTTCCTCAGTATCAGGGGTGCGTAGAATGGTATGTTTATTTGCGCCATGAATAATGGAAACTTTTTCTTTCTTTATCCTAGTGAGGTGCAACAGAATGAAAGTGACTCTGTGCAGTTTGATGACATTTTGAAGCATATTGGTGAATTTGGGCCCTGGCAAAGAGCCATTTACTTCCTGTCATGTTTTTTTGTCCTTATACCGAGTGGACTGCACACAGCTGGGGTGCCGTTTATCACAGGAACACCAAAGTTTCAATGTGCAACACCAAATGTGGTGTGTGAAGTAAACAAATGTTGCAAAAACTGTACAAAATATGCATTTATTGGACCTTATGCCTACAACAGCACAGTTACTGAGGTATTTTTCTTTGATTCTCCTAGTTGTTAGCTAATGGCTAAGAGGATACAGGGCACATTACACTGACCCTTAACTCCTAATATATAGATTCAGCCAAGCCTAAAAGCTCAGCTCCCAATTTTGTAATATGAATGATAACATAAAAGATGTGCATGTGCTAAAACTCGCCTGAGACACCCCCCTTTGTTTTGAATTAGTCTCCCCTACCCTACCCATGCAATCTGAAGGCAAGTGTGTACGTATGCTCGGTCAGTCAAGTGACAACCAAACGAAAAGAGGTTGACTGTATTCCATGGGTATGGGGCTCTGCCTCACGCGTGCAAAGCACGCGTGGGAGCCCCGCTAGAAATCATCATGTAACTTCTCCCTTTAATACCCATAGATTATCCAGCAAACAGGTAATGAGAATACTCAAACTTATCAGGTAGAGGTTTTCTTGATCTATGACCAAATTCTGGGAACTAATTTACAAAGAAATGTCTGGTAGTTAGAGGAAAGAATTAACAATCAGATCTTGCAAGTTAAGGGGTGAATGGTTTTCTGGTTCAGGCTGCACCTTGTGAGTCCACAACATTTTGACTGCTTTGAGGAATATCATTGTCAATAAGAATACAAACCATGCTAAACCTCTGTCAATTTTGTTAATTATATTTTTGATTAACACTGTACCTATAATTATTGCATGAACCAAAATGACCATGTCAATGTACCCTTTTTCTTTTTGTCATCTCCATGTGCAGTACAACCTTATTTGGGATAGAGCTTTCATTGGTGCTAATGTACAGGCAGCATTTGGTGCAGGAATGTTGGTTGGATCATTTATCTTTGGAGCAGTCTCTGACAACTTTGGAAGACGGTCTTGTATGCTGTTGTGTTCTATTCTAATGGTACGTTTTAGATATTTGTTTTAAATATATATATATATTACTTATTTACCTTTTCCACAGCTTGTTCCCTGAAGTTAGGGATTAAATGGCGTGCTTGATAAATACTTACTTGACTCGTTCTAAACTTTCTCTTTTCTTTTACTTTGCTGCTCTATCCTGTCCCATTTTCCACAACAGTTTTCCTGTTTACTAACTGAATCCACAGATCAGGTTATCCGTTGTGGTGAATATTTTTGATGATAGCATGGAAATGAGTGTTGATCACAACCGTCAAAAAAGAGGCGATAAAGTAAAGCTTTGGAAAGAGTGAGTTGATGAATGGACAATCCGTAAGTGAACTTAATCTTGCGACAAACTCGAGAAAATGTCTTTTGTAAAGTGTTGTGTTGTTTTAACTCAACCATTTATTTTAGACCACAGTAATACATAAAACAAATGGCGAGAAAAATACTGCACGTGACGATTCACGTCATGTAAACAACGCGTGACATAGAAATTGTCGCATTATGTAATCGCACAATCAGATACTGTTACATCTTTGTCTCCTTTTTAGACGAAGACTGGATCCACTTGAAAATGAATGAACAGAAAGTTTTTCATTCTTTTTGACTTATCAGTTGAGACTGCCTTAAATCAATATGTGATCTTTTACCTTTCTTTGTCATTCTTTAACTTTTCTCCACAATGTGAGGTAATTCTGACTATAAACAACTGTTCATACTACATGTTTATTTTACTTCAGACACTATTCAGCCTGGGTGCCAGCTTTGCTAAATCCTTGGTCCTTTTCGCTGTCCTCCGATTTTGTACAGGAGCCTGTCTGACGGGTTTTTTCGTGGCTCATTATGTGTACATCCTGGAGCTTGTTGGTCCAACCTTCCGCACCATGTCTTCAAAGTGTTCAGGGTTCTTTTGGGCGGCTGGATCTGGTGCTATTGCTCTAATGGCCTATTACATCAGAGACTGGCGCACACTGCTCCTTGTGTCCAGCTGTCCTCCAGCTCTTTTCCTGCTTTTGTGGTTGTAAGTTATCCATGGAGTGTCGTAAAACCAAAAGCAAAGTTATCCGGCACAACAACCAATCAATATAATGAAACATGTGACAAGGCGCTA